ATGGCTTTGTTAGAAAAGGCAAAATGCTGAAGGAGCCCAAGCTTGAATTGGGAAAACTCATGGAGCGTCATGGTGAAGGTAGCAGTTCCAGAAAAGCTACTGGGGATGAGACAGGCGCTAAAGTTGAACAAGCTGATGGATATGAGCTCCCACTCCAAGAATCTGTTTAAAATTCAGAATTTTCACAGTGACAAAACCCATTGGGGATGTTTTTAAAAAAAATTATAGTCTTAAAAATGTGCAAAATTATATTTTGTACACTATGTAAATAAGTTCTAGAAAATAAAACTATTATCTTCGCTCTGGAATGATGAAAAACAATCATAGTCAACCCAAAGCTAGTTTAGAAGCATGAAGTGTGAATTTGACATACTCAAGATAACAGCTCATGGTAAGCAGTACAGTTTTTGTTTTTTGGGGTTTTTTTATGTGTGTGTATTAATGGTACAGTGTTTATAATATTTTCCATTTTTATGATCCATAACTTATGTTTTAATATCTAAAATATAGTTTGGCATGATTTTTAGTTATCTTGTACTTCACATTAAGTGAAGATAAATGTATACAACCATATTAGCCATCATTTGCATATAATTTACATATATTTGTTAAATGGATGGATAGATTGAAGTTAGTTTTTATAACTGACTAATTTTAATTATAATTATCCTGATAACAATGACAACTTGTTAAAAAGCTAGAGTAAGGAAGATTTAGAAACTTATTAATATAGAAACTAAAGAATATATTAATAAAGTTTTATCTGGTTTCTCTGTCTGAAGGATAATGGTGGCTACCTCACACATCCTCCCAAAAAACCATAGAAGGTATGGGTTAGTTGGGTTTTATTTGTGTTCCTTTTGCATTACTAGGAGACAGACTATCATGAACTTCAAATTACCTGTCAGTAACAAAATAAATAATCACCAAATTTCAACAGAGCTTCCACTGCTGCTGAAGTCTGTATGTGGAGAGGGAAGCTTTAGAGATTATGAAATGGAAGAGAGGGGATTGAAGGACTTAAGCAAAACAGAAAAATCACCATCAAAAAGAGAAAGTACAGCAGTATGTGCCAAAATAGTGAACATAGACTGGACTTGGTAGTTTATAACACCAGCTACTGGAAAGGAGTATTAGAATGAGCAGAGATAGAAGTGGCAGCCTTGAAGGAATTTTGTTTTTGGGGGAAGAAGGAGATAAACAGAGAAAAGGTGATGCTTCTGAGCTTTAACAAAGAAAGAGAAAACAAGAAGAAAAAGAAAAATTAAGGGTCCTGCAAAATGAAAGAAGACACCAACCTCTTCCCTTCCATTACCAATTCAAGAAACTGCCTTCACTAAGATGACGAAGGTACTCTCAAACTGAAGAATGCACCGTTAGAAGAAAAAAAAAATACTGAAGCATTTCAGCTTACGAAAATCTATCCCCACCCCACCTCCCAAAAAATTCCTCAGGAAAATAGTCTCAAAGCAAAATAGCACAAAGTAGAACAGTACTCTAGACTAAAGTAAATATTATCAAACAAGTAAAACAAGCTGGTATCCAGAAATGTGAGAGAAATGGATTTTGAAAATGCAATGTTGATCAAATGCAGGAAAGAAAAAGACAAAACTATTAGAAATGAAGAGTAAATTATAAGTGCTTGAGAGAGTAGAATAGAATGAAAATCTAAGGGACATCAAATGAAAATGAATAAAAAAAGAAGGATCTCAGAGAAAATGATTGTAAGGGGAGACCAGCAAAGGAGGTCCAACATAACTGGAGTCTGTGAAAAATAACAACGGTGAAACAAAATTTATAAATTCTATACCAGGGACACTTTCTGGGAATAAAGAACATTTAAATCTGCCTTTTGAAAGACCCATCATTTACCTGGACAAATTCACCTGGAATGATCAATTTGGAGACATATTTTAGTAAATTGTTAAATTTTAATGATAAATTTGACAGGCATCATACTTCTGAGAAGCAACGTTTAAATTATGGCAACAGCATAGCAGTTTCAAGAAACTCAAAGGAAGACAGTATAGGCCAGGGATTCGATATCCAGCCAAGTTTTCTTTCAGTTATGGTGGCAATAGAAAACCGATTTTGAATATTGAAGAACTCACCGAATATTATAACCATGAGCCCTTCTTGAGGAATTTATTAAAGGATGAGCTCCAGCCAGCCAGGACATCACTGGGGAAGCTTCAACAAAAGGACTGTGAGCATTTGATTTATTGACTTGTAAAATTCAGTACTCATTAAAATTGTAGAAATAGGACTAAATTTTAAAAAGGTGAGGACATGGGTAGAAGAATAGTATGAAATGTTACGTGTTAGACAAAGTATGAAGAATATCATTCTGAAAAAAGGATGAGAAATGGAAAATAGAATAAATCATAGACTGTTGAATAGGTGGGAAACAGTGTACCATTTAGAAATGGCAGACTAGACACTAAAAGCTTAAGTAAGAAAAAGGGAAAAAATAAAGAATAAAGGCAATAACAAAAGTATAAATGCATTAGAACAAAATTACTAACCTTCCTAAATACCAAAAGAATATAATAAACAGTAAGGAAAACATACCACACAGAGAAAGGAACACGGTAAATATTACTTCACACACTAATTATACATTAGTGACAGATGAAACACAACATATCAGTCGTATCAAATATGAATGGGCTTAAATTGCCTATTAAAAGGACTTTCGAGTTGGCTCATTAAGCAAACATTACATTAAAATTTGACTTACTCGTAAGCAAGAATCCATTAATGGATGCTAAATCTAGGGTGAAAAGTTTAAGGCTCAAGATTTTTGCGTGGTCTCCAAGGGTCTCTACAGATTGCTTATTAGCTGCAAGGGGGAAAATAATAACTATATAGTGGACCACACCCTGATTGTGATTAAAGTTAATAATACCACCAATAAGGAGGTTAGGGCCATCATAACCTGTGACTGTGATACTCTTTAAAAGGACATACCATTTCTTAGGTAGTAGTCTAGAAAGGAATGCATGATCTGAATCTATTCATGAAGAACATCAGAGAAACCCAAATTGTGGAACATTTTATAAAATAACTGGCCTCTACAAAAAAAAATTTAATGTCGTGAAAGAAAGAAGGGCTTTGGAACTGTTATAGACAAAAGGAATCTGAAGGGACAGCTATCCAAATGCAGTCTGATCCTGGATTCCATGCTATACAGGATGGGAAGAAATGCTATAAAGGACATTATTAGGATAATTGACAGAATTGGAATAGGGACTGACAAAAGCACTTTTATCAACATTAAATTTTTCTTAGTTTGATATCATTAATATTTATGTAAGAATCTTGTTTTTAAAATGTCACATTGAAGTATTAAGAGGAAAAGCATGATGTGTGAACCTACTCTCAAATGGTTCCAAAAAAATATACATAAGAATGTGTGTTTGGGTGGGATAATGAAAGCAAAGGTAGCAAAATGTTAAAACTTAGTGAGTTTGAGTAAAGAGTTTATGGGAATTTTCTGTTCTTTAAACTTTTCTGAGTTTAAAAAAAAAAAGTAGCTCTAGCTATGATCTGTAAGCCAGAGACCAATACACACACACCTTAGTTTAGTAAGGTAGGATTTGAGTTACATAATTTTTCACTCCCTCTTTCGCCCCTTCGGATTTTTTTTAGATATTGAATGTTTTACTAATTTAAATAACTTCTATTTGGAAAACTTGATGAATTTGATACCATTCTATGTTAAGCTATAGATTTGATTTCTCTGAGCTTCTTTTTCTCTGTTGTTTTTTACAGAATTGACCTTTTTTATGTTTAAGATATGCCTTTAGAGAAAAAACATTTTCCAAATGTGTCCTTTCGTAAGATTCCCAGGAAAATGCTTGGTCTTATGGAACCCCTCCACCCCCAGCTAATTGGTCTCCCCACCTTTGTTCTTCCTTATGTTTTGAGAACAAATAGGAGGTGGATGAAGTTAGAAGCATTTTGAAGATCTTTTCATATCTTTGATCTTATTCCTAAATGAGCTGTATCAAACAGTATGTGAACAGTGGTTTTGTAAGGTTTGCCAGCCACTTTACAACTAAATCCATTTTGCCAGATCAAGCTCCTTTATCTTTTGAGGAACAGAAATATTTAAAGATACTTTATCTTAATTATTCTATTTCTTTTTCTTTATATGTAATAAATATTGTCAGTAATTGTGCTTAGATCGTGTGTGAAGAAGAGATGACATAAAATGAAATTTGAAGTATGCAATCTTGTATGTTGTATTTAACTAAGATTTATTTTTTGATTGTGAAAAATCAGTGATTAATAATTGAAATAAAAAATTTGAAGCCCACTAATTCTTTGCCAGTATTCATACTAAATTTCTTGCTTCTGTCTTAAGGCTGTGCGGAGAAATGAGAACCACATGATTTCACTAGGTGAACAGTCCAGGAGCTCTCATACATTTCCAAATGGAGCAATCTCTAACAGGCAATGAGAAGACAGCAGTTTTTCCAACCTTTATAACTAGTGCAGTGGAGGATCACTGATTGACCCTGAATCTAGTGATTAAGGATTTATTAGATTTTTAAATATATGGGTAGTATGAATTCTTCAGAGTTACAGTGTTACAGTTTAAGAATGTCTCCTTTTACAAGAAGATTAAGTGCTACATGTAACTGCTTTTCTAAGAAGTATGGAATTACTTTTTAATCTAAAGACTGAGATTTTTATTATTAAGCCAAACACCACAATGTAAAATCAGTAAAAATTAGGTAGAAATAACTAACTGTGATGTGCAGTAGTAGGAAAGGCAGATCTCATGCAGAATGAAATAAGTAATTATGTTTTTGCTCAGTTTTTATAAAAACATTATTTTGTTGATTTTTTTTTTCTCTTTTTACATTTCAAGTTCCTAATTTTCTAGCCATTCTACTTACAAGTATTTTGGTAATTGCAGTGTTTTTATATTCGGGACTTTGTCATTAACATTATATTTTTAAGTAATTATGAAACAATTTTTTTCTAACTAGGAAGAAGCATTGCATGCATTTATTCAGCCAGAGATCCTGGATGGTCCCAATCAATATTTTTGTGAACGTTGTAAGAAGAAGTGCGATGCACGAAAGGTAAATGCCATGTAGAAATTAATACTCAATTACCTGAGATAATAGTCAATATTTAATAGGTTCCCCCCCTCCCCCTTTCTTTAGGGTCTTCGGTTTTTGCATTTCCCTTATCTGCTGACCTTACAATTGAAAAGGTTTGACTTTGATTATACAACCATGCACAGGATTAAATTGAATGATCGGATGACATTTCCCGAAGAGCTAGATATGAGTACATTTATTGATGTTGAAGATGAGGTAAGTATTTATTATATTTTCTTGTTATATTTTTCATTAATCCATTTGGTCAGTCGTGTTTGAAAGAGCTGTTTGGGGTAACTTAACACTGATGTTATGTAGATTGTTTTCGTGATGGAAGCTTTTTCTTATTTTCTAATGCCAAGTTCTATTAAAAGAACTAACTTTATATAAGCTTTTCCTGTCCACCGTAAATATTTTCCAGATATTCTTGCTTGAATATCAAGTAACTTGTGATATTCTTTGAAAAGACAAAAAGGATCTAAAATTCTGGAATTATTTTTTTAATCTGAGTGATAATCTTATGTTTCATAACTTTCTCAGTTATTGAAACAAACCAGTCTAGAGGCGGGCTTCACTTGTGGTATATAAGAAACACAGAACAAATACATGAATGAATGAGAAGCAAACTAGGTAGGATGGCCTTAATTTCTTTTATTTGTCTTAGTGTCTTTTTCAAGGATTCAGGTTTCTGGGTTAGTCTCACTTAAGGTTTGCCTGCTCTTAAACTGGCTAGGTTAGAAAGATAGAAAAGAAGGGTATTTTGTCGGTTTTCCTTTTCTGATTAGTTTTTTTAAATTAAAACTTTATTAAAATAGTTTGAGAATGGGACTTTGAAGTACACAGATAAAGCTCATCAATTTCTTCCATTCATTGACCTTTCCAAATTCTCTTGTTCCACTCTCTTAAGCCAATAAAAAATTCATGTCCCACTATATTCTTTTGGAAACTCATATGATTTCATTATGGGGAATATTTGCAATTACTTAACATAGTTGTTTCCAAGCGATTATATTCACAAAACTGGCACGAAGCATTTTTTTCTGATTGGAACTGATGACTACAGTTATAAAAATGCCTTTTCTCATGAGCTCAAAAATAATTTTAAACACTCATCAGGTTTTATCCAATGTGGTATTAGATAAAACCACACTTTCTGAGCCTCACTTTCCTTGTCTGTAAAGTAGGACAATAATTGCTTTTTATAGGTTTTATAAGAGAGTGCCTTAGATAAAGTGGATGTTCATTGAATGGTACCTATGACCAGGTAACATATTGAAAGGTTTAATTTAAAGTAATATCTCAAATGCTTGTGCTTACACTAGGAAATCTACCCAAAGTAGACCAAACTTTCAAAGGAGACATAATCTTAGTAGGATTCCTGCTCAAACAGAGATCAGTATTAGATCTGTACTCCGTATATTCCTAATATATTTCTTGTAAAGGGAAATCTTTCCCACAGGAAGAAAACCAAGATATAAAGTTTGACGGGAACTTGTAGGAATTCTAGGTTCATTTCTTAAGAAAAGAGATGAGAAATGATCATCTCTTTGGGCTTAGTGTAGAGTTCTGAAATTGGTTTTCACCTCCATTTTTCCTCGAACCAAGCTTTCTAGAGGAATGAAGACTTTATGTTAGATATAGCCCCAACAGCAAAGTTCTTGGCAAAAAATTGGTACTTATTTTTATATTGCTTGGTTAGTTTAGGAACTCCTATGCAGTGCCTTAGAGAAAAATTCTTAAGTTATTCAAATAAAAAAATTTTAGGTATGTATAAAATATTAAAGGAAAGGGGAAAGAGTTACTTGAGGATACCTAAGAAGTAGATTTCTTCAATTTAAATTTGCATGAAAGGGATTTTAAAATTTTAAAAGCATTGAAAAGTGTGATTGGCTATTATTACATTTCCACCTCCAAACACGAGTATGACATTCTTGAGGCAGATACAATGTCTTGTTTTTCTTTCTAATTGTCTATAATACCTAGCAGAGTGATAAACTGAATTAAACTTTTTGTTCAAGAAAACATGATATCTTTTGAGATCTGAGAACCAAAGAAGCTCGTTTTCGAGCTTAAGTTCTCTGCTTTTATGGATTTTGGCAAAAGAAATGCTAGTTTACATTGTGACTTTGCAACTATAAACATAAATGGGATTTAATAGAATTCTGAATCACTTAAAATTTTAAGGACATTAATAGAAGTGCTTTTAAAATACTTTTTTTTGTTTAATTTTATTTAAGGTCTCACTTTTTAAGAGAAACTAAATTTACTTAAAGTAAAATAAGTATTTTTATTAATAATAGTATCTTAAATTATATGAAAAAGTTAGCAGCATATAGATAAAAAGTTTTACTTAGTATATATTTTCCCTTCATCTAACTTGTAATTGTAAGATAACTATGTTTTATTAAGAAATCCCCTCAGACTGAAAGTTGCACTGACAGTGGAGCAGAAAATGAAGGCAGTTGTCACAGTGATCAAATGAGCAATGATTTCTCCAATGATGATGGTGTTGATGAAGGGATCTGCCTTGAAAGCAATAGTGGAACTGAAAAGATTTCAAAACCTGGTCTTGAAAAGGTACCTTTTATAGTTTGTGGTTTTTAATTGAAAGAGAGAATAATGTAATCTCTGAGCTGCTATATATAATTCTGTAACTGTGTGACTGATAAAATTCTCTCTAAAAGTTTAATTTTTGACAGTCAAGACTTTTTAAGATATGCTTTTTATGCAGTTATGTGATCATAATTAAACTTTAGGAAAAACTTCTTACAAATGGAAGCATTAATTTCTGGGAAGCTGAGCTGTAATTATGTAAGCAAGTGGGGTGGTGGTGTAGAAAGGGTCCTAATAGTCAGACTTTTGCCTTTAAAGTTGAAGCAAGCCTCCAAATCTTACATCTTACCAGAGTTTTCTCATAACAAAACGAAAAGCGTTAGACTAGATGTTTTGATTTTTAAATTCTGGCTATGGAACCCTTTACAAAGGTAGGGGAAGGACAAAGCCCTCAGTCTTCCTCCTCTCCCCTGCCCCACACTCATGACAGCCCTTAAGGCACTTCAAAAAATGATACAGGTCCATGGATTTTAATTTTAAAACTACAAAACTGGAATATCTCTAGGATAGAACCTTTTTTGTCACTGTTTCAATGATTTTTAACATTTTATCAAACCTTTTCTTTCACATTCATATAATCTGCTTTATTGAGGGGAGAATTATCCATCAAAGTATCTTGAGCACTGTACGAATATGAATCATTAGCATGAAGACTGATCACTAGCTCAAGTCTTACAGTCATATTACATATAGAATTTTTTAGGCAATATTTGAGTATAGTGTTTCACTTGCATAAATCTGTTTTTAGACCAAGACCATTATTCTCACCACCATTGCTACTATCCTTTCTTTACCTTTTAAAATTATCTATTTCTTTCAGGGCAGATAGATGAATGTGAATTGCTATGAAATGAATCATGTAGGGATACAATATAACTTAGTATAAAGAACTTCGCTTTCAAGCGAGGTTTGGCACACTGTGGCTCAAGAGCAAATTCTAACCCTGTGTCTGTTTTTCTGCATAGACAAGGGTTTTTCTTTCCTTATCTTATTAGATTAGGTAGGACTTCCCTTACAGTGTTGAATAGGAGTGGTGAGAGAGGGCATTCTTGCCTTGGTCCTAATCTCACGAGGCAAGTGTTCAGTCTCTCATCTGTAAGCATGATGTTGGCTGTAAGTTTTTTGTAGATGTTCTTTATCAAGTTGAGGAGGGACCCCTCTTCCCAGTGTGTTGAAAGTTTTCATCATGAGTGGGTATTGGATTTTTGTCAAATGCTTTTTCTTAGTCAGCTGATATGATCATGTAATTTTTCTTCTTCAACCTGGATTACATCATTCATTTTCTAATGTTGGACCAGCTTCAAATACTTGAGAAATGTCAAGTCAGTAGATCACTATATCACAGATATTATGTAACTACATTAGAAGATGTTCCAAATCATTACATCCCTCAGCTCCTCTGTAAAGGAAATAGAATCTTATTTGAATAAAAATCATTGTTATTTGGGATATCTTGATATTGACAGCACATATCAGGATAGTCTTGTATTTGGCACCATCTACTAAAATTTCATACTATTATTTTCTTTTTTACATAGATAAATTTATATTTCAGATATGCATAGTACCAGAGGTTATAGCATAATTAAAATATGAAGGAATACATTCAGTGAAACTTGAGGTATATAAAATTATGTGGTGACTTGCCATTTGATTATCTTATAGGAAAGTTAACATACAATAAATATATAGGACAACTAACATGTTACTAGACTATATGTTAATAGACAATAGGAAATATACAAGTAGATGTTCCATGTTTTTCCTCTTCTCTGAGTTACTTTTATTTTTCCCCTCAGAATTCTTTGATCTATGAGCTCTTCTCCGTTATGGTTCATTCAGGGAGTGCTGCTGGTGGTCATTATTATGCTTGTATAAAGTCATTCAGTGATGAACAGTGGTACAGCTTCAATGATCAACATGTCAGCAGGGTAAGGAGGGATTTTTCAAGATTATCATTCTGAAAAACAAGAGGAGGGATGTTTCTGTCAATAGCAGGGTTTATTGAAATGGGAGACTGTCCACTGAAACATTTTAAGACACATACCAAATCAGAGTTTTGGTTTTTGCTTTCAGTAAATTTCCTGCCTTGTTTATTGTTGTTTCTTGGTTTTGTTTTATTTTGTTTGGGGCTTGTTGAGTGTCTGCAGAGATAGATTCCCAATTTTCCTCTTGCCCTGAGTGTTTGTGTGGTGCTGTTTAGGAGCACTAGAACCGCTTGGTCAGTAGCAGCCACTGATTATGATTACGTTCTGTAAATTGGTATCTGTGTGGTCCGTTGAACTCTGAGGTTAAAATTGGGTTACATATTGACATAAAGGTAATGGTGTTACAGACTTTACCCAAAGGTAAATAATATAACAACTTTTTAGATAACACAAGAGGACATTAAGAAAACACATGGTGGATCTTCGGGAAGCAGAGGCTATTACTCCAGTGCTTTTGCAAGGTAAATAACTTCCTAATTTTTAGTGTTGATAAGTTAGAATTAATTATAGCTTCTCAATGTTTTTTGCCATTAAAAAGATTTAACCCAGGAGTCGGCAAGCTATAATCTATGGACCAAATCCAGCCCACTTCTGGTTTTTGGAAATACAGTTTTTGGAACACCACCATACTCATTTGTTTAAATACTCTGTGTTGCCCTTGTCCCACTACAACATCAGAGTTAAGTAATTGAAACACAGATAATATGACCCACAAAGCTTAAGACGTTTACTGTGTGGCCCTTCCAGAAAAAATTTGCTGACTCCCGACTTAACTGTGGTAATCATTCTAGGACACGGGTTTTTTGAAGACTTTACTGTGTTACCAAGAGGAGGTATGGAATCTTTTCATAAATGTGTCAGTAAAAGCAAAGTAGATTTTTTTTCTAGAATGAAATTTGAACCTGTCCAAGAACAGTTAAATGATTTTCTAATTGTTTAAAACAACAAAAAACTATTTTATATAAATATTTGATGCTAGGAAATGGAATCTTTACAATTTGCTGTTTGTCCCCGTTAATCTTTTTTATGTTTCTACTAGCTCCACAAATGCATATATGCTGATATATCGACTGAAGGATCCAGCAAGAAATGCAAGTATGTTAACATACAGTTACTTGATTTTAATCTTTATTATAAACTAATTTCTTTTGCAAGATTTGCAAACCCAAATAATCATTTTTAAAGGATAGGACCATTAAGGTTTTTTTATATACATGGAAGAATCAATTATAAAGACTGTTATGAGATAATACCAACTGGTAAAAACACTTAAAAAAAATTGAACTGTTTTTTTAATACACTAAGGGAAAAAACTTACTCGGCATTAAATAAACGGGATATTTATTTGCAGTAAGATTGTATTATACGAGATGTGATCAAACAATACAGTGAATGCTTAAATAAAAAATTTATTACAGTCAAAAACACATTGCCTTTAATCCC